TTAACATTTAATGTTATATGTCACATAATTGATTTGGTACGACTTTTCATTGAAGCACTATTTTGTATTAGTATATATTACCGTCTTAAAATGGACACCCTGTATAGTCGTATGTAATAAGCCAGAGACTTTTGCTCTTAAAATTTTATTTCTTTAATTTCTTTCTAAAACACTGATCTTGTTTTATACATATACAGAGGGCTCAAGAAAGAATCACTTTATATACAGAGTATCAAAAAAAAAATAGTGAACTGGGGTTCGTGAGGTGATAGTACTGATCAAAATAAAAAAAGTTCTTCGAGACGTGAAGAAAGTGAACAGCTTTTATTTATTTCTTGGCACAGTGGCAGATCAGTCCTTTATTAAAACAACATATATGAAAAATTCTTACTTTTTACGTAAACAAGGTCTCTATTCAACACGTTAGAGTGAAGCTGTTCGCTCAAACTTTTTAATACAGAAAGTTTCTTTATAATTGCTTGTTTTGGTTCCGATACAGAACGAACTTCTATTCAAATTGACTGTTTCACATATAAAAACAACTGTTGGGTAACCATTTTTATAAAATGTACACAATAAAAAAAAAACTAACCGAATTGAAGTTCAATAATTTTTAAAAATCAGTTTGTCTTTAGTTTTCAGTTTTAAAAATAATTGTGTTACTTTTATCAGTGTCAATGACCTTTGACACTGACTTAGTTTGGCTGAACTATACTACGGTCACAACATATTAAACTAAACAAGTATTACATATTAAAAAAATATTAAATTCTAAACAAATTACATTATGCTCTTACTTTTTCTCTTATTCACCCACTTCATCAGTCAATAGTTAATACTTAATCACAGAAAAAGCTTAATTTATATTAACGTAAAGTATTTTATATTATTTATACGCAACTAAATGATCAACGGTATACTCTCCACAGTTTAAATTTAAGCAGAATCCCATCCTGTTCCGAACACAAGAGAAACGGAGGCTAGCCTTGTTACAATAATTTTAGTATTCAATTTGTTGGTTTACGGTTTCTGAAGTGTATTTGTGTAGTGTAAACGTATCAGTGGCGGCTCGTGACATTGTGAGTAGGTGAGGCCCGTAGCTTTTTTACTAGGTGGGCAAGAAAAAAGTAAAAAGGCGCTGAAGGCAATTTTTTTTTTAATTTTCAAGGTCAAACGACTAAATGCATCTGGAAATTTTTAATTGCATTTATATTATAGAAAAACTGATGTTCACGACAAGAATTTTCGTTAAGATTTTATAAAAAGTAATACGCAACTAATTGGATAATCCGCTCTCAAATAATAAATAGGAATAAACGTCCACGTAATTTTTTATTATAATCGCAAATTAAAAAATATTATTAATAATATCAGAACTTTAAAAATTGTATTTACAATATAATTAAGTAACAGAAAAAAAACAATGTGATATATTAACAAAATTGTTCCTACTTGGTTTATGAATACTAAAACATGAAAATATACAGGGTGGTCCGTAAGTAATGGTCCATAGAGACATACTAGATTTTTTTACTTCAAAATGTTACGATTGGAGCCAATATGCCTTAATAAAATGTTGATAACAAAAAAGATATAGGGTGTCAAAGTTGGAAATTAAAAATTGAATTTTCGTAATAATTATATTTTTGAGTGTATGAACGTGAAAATTTAGGGGTAGATGTTTTTGTATACGAGAAATCATAATTTGTTATCTATTTCGATGTATCTTCTAGAAGGCGCCACATACGCCGTGTTTATGACGTAAATACGAGCATAATTTTTTTATCCACAACGTTAACGCTTCTTTTTTTTTAAATCTTAAACCTACATTATTTTCGTGAAAAAATGGTATATTTGTCATTACCTCTAGAAATTGTCCGTTTTCAAGAAAAACGCATTTCTAAGTCTTAATGCCCTTAAGACACAAAAAATTTCTTTCTACCGAGACATTAGTTGCAGGAATTGTTAAAAGTGGGCAAAACAATTTGTATGTTTCCGAAAATACCATTTAAAATTCATTGTATAATATTTCTATCGTTTTTTGAACTTTTAAATTATGAAATTGTTCGTCTCTGTACAAAATATTAAGTTCTTTCCTATCTATTTCAAAAACGTTTGGATACATTTCTAATAAACATTCAAACGATTTTTCGGTAAATTTGTTTGCATATTCGGGAAAATTTGAGGAAACTATTAAAGCAAAAAATTTTAAATCATGTAAATTCCCAAAACAAGTAGGTACTTAATTAAGGGGAAATATATTTCGAAAATATTTCTAATTCATGGCAACTTTTGCCCCGTTTACTTGGTAGTCAAGTAATGTTTTTTGCATAATTAAAAATATTTTTAAATTTTTCTTCTTTTCTTAATTCAGAAATTCTTTGACTAGTGATTTTAATTTGTTTAAAGCAGCAGTTTTCGTCATTACGTCTTGAGAAAAAGGTGTTTCAACAGGTAAAGCAATATTGTGAGATAGTTTCATTATTAGCTATGTATATGTAGGTATATGATAATATAATAAGTATCTATTAAATTACGTTAAATTTAGTTTTACTTTGTTTTGTTGTACCTTAAAGCCTTTGTACTATCACTCACACTGACATCAGCCCGCGTACTATGCGACGCGTACATTAACCACGAATTAAAACTATAAGTAGCTTTGAGCGGGCCTCAGTTGCTTCATACGACGAGCCACCACTGAAACGTATAATCTTATAAAGTTATTTATTTCAGTGTTTAGTAACGGCTCAGTGCATTTTAGTGTTTCTATTTTCAAATTTCTATGTGATATTATGAAAGGGCATGCATATGAATAAAAAAAGTGTATTGTAGCCATATAGCCTACTTTTTGTCAGGAGAAAACGATGCTGCTGCAAGAAGACAATACCAGATGGATTATCCCCGTTCTGCAAGTGCTGAATGTAGTGGGAAAATGCCACTAAAAAGGAGAAAACTTTTGATTCAATTGTTTTCAGGTATACTGGGATCAGAATAAGATTATGAGATGAAAAATTTATTATTGGTCGGCTAACATCGCAGGCGGCGTGCTCTTGGCACAGGTACGAACAACCTCTGCCGCCCGCCGACATCAATAACAACTTTACTCCAGGCGTGGATTAGAAGTTTTAATAAGTCGGACACATTCGCGATTTAGCCCTAACCTAACTTTGATTAAGCCGTAATTATGCCGAAATTAAAATAAAGTCCGCTGGAACCGCTCAGCTCCTTTGCGGCCGCGCCCGTAATTTGAAGCCCTTCATTTGCATATAGATTGTCAAACGGGCCGCCAACTCGGATATCCACATACACCCAATTCGCTTCGGCATACACGTCATTATTTCGACAATAAACATGCATTTGCATGAGGTCCCCGTCAAGTATCGACTTGCGGAAGGCCCCCGAAAAGGGTCCGCAGCGTCAGCTTGGTGGGATGAGGAGCGGTCCTATCTATTTCGCCTTACAGGGGCGTTATAAATTTAAATCGCCACTCGAGAGTGGCGTAGCAGCAGGCCGCGGCCGCCAAAATACGTTTTTCTTATGGTTTATTCTGTGTAGCTTTATTTGTTTTTATAAAACCCCCTACATTCCTAAAATATTTCATAAAATAGGTTACATCCCATAAAATTTTAAGAATTATTTCTCTTATCAATATAATCAATAAATGTCGGTCGAAATTTGAAATTTTTAGCGACGTTTCGAATCCAACCACCGGAGCTGTCGATGGAACTAAAAACCACACCAGACACACTAGGCCAAAGCAGACAACAATCAGAGTGCACGACCGCTAAAAATCACCGCGAATCGTCGAAAAAATCACCGATGTTTCGAATTTTCTACTAAAACAGCTCGAGATCCACTATAATCGAGCCACGATCAACGAACGATTTGATAAACGTGAATCTAAAAACTTAACACATTTAACGATGATTCAAGACAATTCCGGGAATTGCCGATATCCAGAGAAACCAAGGGCATAAAATAACGGCGAATATCTACCCAGAGAACTGGCGGAGCTATCAAGATATGTGATCGAACGTTGACTCAGGTTTTGTGCAGTTAACCAGGTCAACATTCTTGGTCAGTACATTGGTTATTTCAAGTCATAGGTCATCATGTCGTATGAATAGCTTCATTTAATAAATGCAGGGTCGTAACATCGAAATTGTGTCTCGTTTGAATGTTGTATTGATGTCGTGTCAATGTCGTATGGTGCCGTAAGGATACGTTCTGAGTAAGCAAAATGTTCGTAACGGAATCTATCACTATAGAAGTGTCGGACGAATCGAAGTTTACCAAACAAAAGCGTATTCAACTGTATGAAGCTAACATATATCAAATTGTCAGGTAACATGCTGTAATAAAAATTTGGATATTTTCAATGGCTCTTGTAGCGGTTACAGTTTCTGAAATGTTGATGCCCTCTTTTATAAATCTGTTTTCGACTTAACGATCAGAATTACTTTTTTTAATGAAAACTATAGTTGGCTATGGCCTGATATAAGAGGATGTTCTGCGTTGTTTTGTTTCGCAGCTGATCTTGTTTTCGAGTCTGCCAGTTTAGCCATCTGGAAAACCTAGTCACTGAGTAGCAGTAACCGTTTAAAACCAGTATATATCTGGTGGTTTTACTGACGAAAGACGTTACTGGTAGTCCAAAGAGTAGTTGGTTCCCACAATGACATTAGTTAAATATAAAGGTGTTTCACAGAAGAATAGCAACTCTTTTTAAAACTTTTACCTTACTCACATTCATTACTTTAAACAACTGCTTTTAAATTTCTTTATAGAAATTTCCTAAAACTTTTAACAAATGAAATTGTGTATATCACATATTCAAAAGAGACGTTAAAGTACAAAAGTTAATACTTGTAATAAAGAAAAATAAAATTTTAACAAAAGTGTGAAACTATTGAAATTACTGCGGTTTTACAATGCTACATGGGAAATCTTTAGCTTTAGAGGTAACATCTGCTTTTTGAAAGGACAGTACAATTTCTTACCTAAATTCTGGATTTCGCACGGCAGCACGACGGTGTCTCCTGTAACGGCCTTAAACGTATTCCCTCTGGAGATAAACTTCGGCGTCGGATGATTGCCAAATACTGAGCCTAAAAGAAACAACATATTAAATTTGATAACATAATACTAACTGCATGATTTTTTGCTATTTCTAAACACAATTTTCCTAAAGATATTATCAAGCCATGTCATCTGTTTAAGAGGGCTCTATAGCAAATAGGCAACCAGCAATACATTTTTATAGATTTTATTACACAGTTTACCTAAATATGAATTAATGCACAAATAATAGACTTTCCCCCATTTTATCGCAGATTTTCTGTAAAATAGACTTAATTTGAAACTCAAATAACTTTTTTGTGTAAATAAATTTATAATTTATGATGCCGTTTGTTCAAAATCAGCAAATTACAAATTTTTTTACAACAAAAAGTAACTTTATTTTATAGGAAATCTGCATTAGAATGGAGGAAAGTTAGTTAATAATAAATAATACAAAAAATTTAGGATTTTGCTAATTTTTTTATACATTTACAAATTTAAATGTGTTTTTGTTGGAAACGGTTGACTTTAGAGATATTAACAAGGTATACCTTTTTTAACCATAAAAGTTGAGGCAAAATATTTTTCCAGTCCAAACTGAAATACGCCGTGGCACAAAAAATTTTGGCAGTTTAAATGCGTCCTAATTGTCGCTGTGGCCCCCTCTAGAAGATACAACGAAATCGTCGATAAATTCGAATTTCTCATCCCAAAAAAACCCACGAAATTAGCTCGAAGTAGCCGAAAGATATTAAAAAAAATGTTATTTATTTTTTCAACTTTAACACCCTGTAGCTCAGTTATTATTAATTTTTTTGGACAGTTTAGTTAATTTGACTTATTCTGAGCCGTAGTAGATCTGATGGAGCGTTGTACAGATATTTTAGAGACACCCTGTATAACTGCTATAGTGATTGGTTCTAACTTGCTTAGATTTTCTTTTACTCTCGACAAAAAACTGCTATAAATTACACATTCGCAAGTGACCCATTTTTAAGCATTACGTCAAGAGCGCCAGCAGGACGCGGCTGGACGCACCAGCGTTCCAGGAAGGGTCTACGGCGGACTGGCGCCGGCGACCAGATGCTTACTCATATTCCTACCATCGACTCCACACCACGAGGACAGACTCTCTAACGAACACTCACCCCGTCAACACGTCTTTTTCTATACAACTTAGTTTTCAATAAAATACTTTATTATTACCGTTGAGAGAGCGTTTTATTCTTGCTGTACAGCGAAAGCAACCCTCAAATTCACCAAAAATTACGCATAACAACGCCCCTTTAATGTTTTTTTTTTTATTTATTTGACAATTTTGACAATTATGCTCATGCCATAAACATTATCAAAAAAAAATTCTAAGCACGTGCAAACACGAAAATAAATAAATACGGGAACGACCCCGTTCAGCAGACGAGAGTACGGCTTTGCGACTAGCGATAAGCAAATCCCGTAACAAGTGAATGCGACGGCAAATTGGTAGACACGGCCTGCTAGATCGAGTCGCGCGACCCCGCGTCGAATGCATATCGAATTTATATGCCGCCGCCACCGCGTATTGTACATTGTATCGTTATAAATTGGGGAGGTTGCGGCGTTGTATTGCTTTCCGCCATCTATAATTCAACTTCCACCGGAACGGTGCGCCGCCCGCCGCCCGCTCTGCTCTCGTTAAACAATGCCCCGCTAATCAATCTCTCGAAACGTTGTGTGTAGGGATATCCTCCGGGTATTACGCGGGATGTGCGGGACTTACTCGCCTTAGGAGACGCACCAGGACGTGACGAGTTTTCGATTGCCCCGTAATTAAATCGGGGATTAGCCGATAATATTTATAGGACGGTTCCTGCTTGTCCCGAATACTCCATGTTATGTCCGAGCCCTAAGATATGGGCCATTTCTACAGGGTGAGTTAGGAGAATTGCACCAAACTCCAGGAATGGATTCTACACATCAAAATAATAAGAAAAAACTCAAATGTTGTTTCATTTGTTTTCAAGTTCTAACGTAATTACAAATTTTAAATATTTGAAATCATATATATCATATTGTTACTCCCCACTAATCCCCACTATAGTGCAGCCAGAGGCGGTTAAAATAACGTGATTTAGGAGGGAACTGGGGCCGGCTCAAAGCTGCTTATAGTTTAAGTTTTTGAGTTCGCGTTTACGGTTAACGCACGCGTCGCATAGTACGCGGGTAGTGTCTGATGTCAGTGTGACGGATAGTACAAAGGCTCTAAGGATAAGTAAACAAAGTAAAACTAAATTTAACGTAATTTAATAGATCCTTATTATATTATCAAATACCTACATAGGTAGCTAATAATGAAACTATCTCACAATATTGTTTTATCTCTTTGAAACACCTTTTTCAAGATGTAATGATGTAAACTACTGCTCTAAACAAATTAAAATCACTAGTCAAAGAATTTCTGAATTAAGAAACGAAGAAAAATTTAAAAATATTTTTAATTATGCAAAAAATATTACAGGACTACCTAGTAAACGGAGCAAAATTTTATATTTCCCCTTAATTAAGTACCTACTCGTTTTGGGAATTTACATGGTTTAAATATTTTTGCTTTAATAGATTCCTCAAATTTTCTCGGATATGTAAACAAATTTCGTTTGAGTGTTTATTATAAATGTATCCAAACGTTTTTTAAATAGATAGGTTGAAAAACGAACTGAATATTTTGTAAAGAGACGAACAATTTCGTAATTTAGAAGTTCAAAAAACTATAGAAATATTATACAATGAATTTAAAATTGTATTTTCGGAAACATACAATTTGTTTTGCCCAGTTTTTTAATAATTCCTGCAACAAGTGTCTCGGTAGAAAGAAATTGTGTCTTAAGCGCATTAAGACTTAGAAATACGATGACACAAAAGCGCTTAAACAATTTATCAGTGATGAATTGTAAATTATAAAAAATTAAAAAATTATAAATATTTAATACTCACAGTGCGGTAGTAAATTTTGCCTCGAGAAATTTTTTAAGTGTCTCGTAATTTATTTCTATTCTTTAGTTCATCAAATTCAATAAAAAAATTATTAGTTCGTTGATATTTATTTTTAGAGGTCGCTCGAAAACATTTTAGGTACACTACTTTTAAAGTTAAAATAAGTATGAGTGACCTTTAGAAATTAAAATATCGATTTGAAATTTTCCGAATCGAGATTTTTCAACCTAGAAAATGATAAAATAACGAGAAAAATTTTTTTTTAAATTCAATTTTTGACGATTTTTGAAATTTTTAAAAATATTGAGCGACCTCTAAAAAATAATAAACATATTTTCACAAGAGACGAAAAAAAATATTCGTTTTTTTTGGGCCACCCTAATAGTGATAGTTAATAAACGCGCATGTTTTCCTGTACAAACATAATTTTTAGCTCTAACAGCGGCATGCGTGCAGGCATTGACGCTGGTATTTTTAAAGAAAAAAATGGTACGCCAATGGTTTTTCTCCTAATAAAATTATGTTTGAAATCCCCGTTCAATTCAAAAAATAAGATCTCTCTTGAGCTTTTGTCCTGCGATACGCCCGCCGTTTATGAGTAAAAAATAAAACTCGTATTGTCCGTAATTAATTAATGTAATTATTGAAGCATACAATTTTGCAATAAACCTAGTTGACCTGGAATGTGTTACCTACATTTCTGAGATTTTGAAGTAAATCAAGTAATTTCGGAAATATTAATATTTCCATCTTTTCCTAACCGAACATTTTTTGACCATAGTTTATAAAGCAAACTATCAATTTTCCATGTAACATTACACCCTTAAATATTCGCATATCATTAAGAAACACCCTGTATATTAAATGTTGAAAAATCATGTTTTTCTTAATCAATACAGTGTATCGTTACTATACAGGATGATTCACAACTTATCCAAAAAAATTTGGGAATAGATGCGGCATGAGAAATGGAGTCAATACTGTAAAAAAAATTTTTGGAAAATCCTTATAGTTTCTGAGAAAAAAATTATTGAAGTTATAGCACATTAAACCACTACATAGCTGGACAACTGTAGTCTCTAGCGTCATTCGCATTACGCGTGGAGAGCCATGTGACTCCTAATACTGAAATCCGTCGTTGCGGTAGTTTTTACCTGTTATCTGTGGTATTTACATCAGTTTTTTAGTAGTTAGTGTCAAAAATGGCTTGCGTGTATAGCAACTCAGAGTTGATGGATATCGTTTTAATTTATGGTGAAGCAAGACATCATTTGTATTAGTTCGTAGAAAGTGAGTAGGACGGACCCAAATGTGTTTACACGTGAGTGGATAAAATTTTGAACAATTGCTGTTGCAGCATCGGGTATGTCAAATGATTTTATTATTTAAAAACACAAATTAATTTTATTAATAATTAATAAAGGCAAAAGCATTTGAATTTGCCGATATAAAATAGGTGCGATAAAATTCTATTTACATATTTCTTTCCTTGCCGTCCGTTTGTCCGTTTTTATCATCACCGGTCGCATTGTGCGAGGTCAAATTTTACAGTGGACCAGTTTCCAGTGCCGTGCAGAAGTGTACTTTTAAATCAATTTCGAACTGACCTTTTTGATTTTTTCTTTACAAAATTGTATTTGTAATGGTCTTTTGTACATACAGAATTTTTTTTTGGATAAGTTCTGAATCACCCTGTATTTCTAACCTTTGTTGAGATCACCTTGTTTATTTAGGCCTACTTAAAACATTTTTCTACATTTGGACAAACGCAGAATTTTTTATAAAATGAGGAAAAAAAGTTATTTTTTCAACTTCATACGTAGATACACTGTACGTAGGTATATGCATATTCTTTTTTAGCGTTATTTTAATAGACTCTTTTAGTGTAACGTCACATATTTAGACAACCCTCAACAAATTGTCATAGTTGTAATTGTACAGATCGAATCTGACCCTTGTTTACTATTCAGATAGATACTATAAAAGTGAACAACTTCAAATTAATTTATTTTTACAAAGATTTGGAAATATTTAAGAATAACACATGTTTGGTAAAATAGATACTAGATAGTATAAT